TACATCAATTTTTCCTCTAAAAAACGATTATTTCTTGCATTAATTTATAATTCAGGTAACAATATATATTTATTTTACTCAACTAATCTTTTTTCCCAACGTAATGTTGTTATTTTTGCGAACATTACCTGATTTCTACGACCTACTTTAAGTGTCTATTGTAGTATACTATATATTATGTAATCCTATAATAATTCTATAGTCCTCCGCGATGCTTTCTCGCTTCATTACTTGTATATGTTGAAAACATTTGCGCTACCGGTATCTTTCATCTCAGAAGGTATATATTATGCTCTTGCCTTATCACGCATTTAATGGACATTTCATTTTAACACTTTACCGACCGGGGGCCTATTAATCGGTTTTGCGATATCCGTGATCGCCATTTACTTGCAAAGTCGCCGGTCAATAAAGTGTTCATATGTCAGATTTGAAGCATAGATTAAAACATAAAAAGAAGTAAACATATGATTTTAATCAGGGTGGGTTTTGGGACCAGGGGGTGCACCACAAAACTAGGCGCTATGGTATTCGGAAAGCACATAATTCCGAGAGTAGTTTAAGCATAAAGAGTTTCAATTTCGTCCACGCTATCGGATAGTTACCTCTTGTAGTATTTTTGATGGGGGTGGGTTTGGAACCTTGGGGGTGGAGCACAAAATTCTTCGCTATGGTATCGAGAGAACACATAATTCATAGAGTAATCTAAGCATAAAGAGTTTCAATTTTCTCTTCGCGATCAGATAGTTATCTCTTGTAGTATTTTTGATGGGGGTGGGTTTGGAACCTTGGGGGTTGAGCACAAAATTCGGCGCTATTGTATTCGGATAGTACATAATTCTAGGAGTTATTTAAGCGTAAATAGTTTCAATTTTCTCTTCGCAATCGGATAGTTACCTCTTGTGGATTTTTTTAATGGGGGTGGGTTTTCCGACTTAAGGGTGGAAATTTTAATTTATGAATATGATTTTCAGAAAGCACATAATTTGCTGATAAGTTTTCCCCCATTTTTGATTATTTAAACACTTTTTTTAGGGCAGTGGTGGTAGCTTTTTGAGTACCTAGCACCCCCACAGAAAAAGTCAATTTTTTACCAAAAACTGAGCTAGCACAAAATTTGCAAATGTAGCACATAATTAGCACATAAGGAGCACAAAACGTTAAGATATAGAAATTTGAATTTTGTATAGATGGGGGTGCCAGCTATACGCACCTAAATTAGAGATTTACTGCACACTTTTAAATTCAGTACAAGTCATACCCAACTCTGAATACCTCTAAGAAGGGACAACTGTTCCAACAAAAAAGTGAGTAAATCATCTTGACTTTATAACCTATCATGCAATTAACAGAAAAAAATCATTATAATACGTAGGTGTCACTACGGTACATATGTACCGTTAATAACTGGAAACGTAATAAATAAAATGACGCGGCTTAAGAAAAAAAATACTATACAAATGCAAATCCCATAACAATACTTTCGATTCTCAGTTTGAAATACATGAATGAGTTTCGAAACTACAATAAATTATAGAAGGCATGAAAAAACTTCATTGGTTGAACGCGCTCTACTGTAAAATTTCTAAGTATTCTATCTCCATTTTTAAATAGCTAACAGAATTAATTCCAAAGTTCTGCAGAAATTAAATCAAATCAATTGCAGAAATTCGGAACAATCTTCTAAACGCATTCATTTTGGATTTTTTTTTTTCCTCGAAGAAATATATAATTCGTGATCATTTTGCATGAATAATAGAACTCAAGATGGTGAATGTACGAAGCACATCAAGTTGTATGATCATACGTAAAGGTATGTTCCACCAAAGGAACGAAGAAACGTTCTCGAACGTACTGTCGCGTCGCCGATATCCGTTACTTTTACAGCTTCGGGCTAATCGTTTAAACGCGTAATGTGTTCGCTAATGCTGAGAAAACCCCACAGAGGTTATGTCGTACGTGCGCGTACGTAGCTCACCGCGTTATTCTTCGAATGTCGTTCCACACAAGAGCCGGTTTATCTCCGAATTATATAAACTTTCCTCGTAGCGAGATCATAACAAGCGCAAGAAGAAAATATACAGCCGTTGATCTCTAAATATTGCTAATGATGCTACGTCAAATTCCTTTCACTTCTTTCCCGACAAGGAGACGAGCCATAAAATACTAGACACCTTTACACTGGAAACGTAGTGCTTGATCATTGAATAAGAGACACCGAGTAATACATGTCAAGGATAGAACTCTGAAATGGAAAAAAGAAACTTGGAGAACCTTTAAAAACAGATTTATTGCCCGAAATTAATGCTTTAAACTTGTTTTACTTGGTGATTAAAGTGAATCTGACTCCCTTCTTTTCTGTTTATCTCTAAATGAGGTAAAATGCGTAAATAATACGTTTCAAGGGTGAAAGTGTGTTTATTGGGACATAAAAGAATAGTTGTTTGAAAAAGGCTGAAATTATTACAGAACATAATATTTCAAACGCTTAATTAAAATTTTGTTTTCAAAATATTTGCTCTTTTCATATCTGGTAATTAAATCGAAATTGTCATCGAATATGCTCTATTACCATTTTCAGACACCGAATTTTATTTAATTGAAAAGGGGACAACTTTCTTTATGAGGAATGAAAGTCATCAAAATGCACGGGGGGCATTATTTCCCTGCATTAAATCAACGAGGGTCTTGTTTTAACGTAACTCCAAAAAATTTGAGTATGTCAATAAAAGTAATAAAAAACACGTTTCTATTATCCCTTGCTGAGATTCAAAAATATATAGTTCTATAATGATTAACGCGATGTTTTGTTCCTATTTAGAAGCAAGCTACCATAATGTTGTTTTTCCGCATGGCCGTGATCATAGGGGTTTTTGTTTTTCTAAAATATAATTTGACCTGGCATTATTGAACACGCAGTTACCTATATTGCAACGTCATCCACACATCCAACGTCCTCTGACATCAGATTCGGATTTACGCTTATAAATTCCCCTCGGGTGATTAATCGTCCAATTTCGAGTTTCAATTCACGTTTGTAGGCATTGTCAATATTGTCCATAATCCATAATTCCTATCCATTGCGATAGAACCGTGGCATCAATAAATCGATCGTTCAGTATCACCGGCGATACGAGCGAATTATTGATGTTAACAGAAACGTTGGTAATTAATCCGTAGGTATGTAATTTGCGATCTTGTTGTAAATACGTAACTGAAAATTCACCGAAACACAACCTGCGCCATTATAGCAAACAAACGATAGCTTTATACCGCGTGAAATTATAAATTGTCTGCTTTGTTTCATGGACAAGTGAGTAATCCAATCATGGAGCATTCTTTATATGATCCTTGCTCCATCATAATGTCATTCTATTATACCTAAGACAGATAAGAAAATTGATGCATTCGCTCAGATTTTTAATAGTACTGAATTGAAAAATACCCAAGTTGAAACGGGTTCTGTCATTTTAGCGAAAGGTGTTATTGAAGAAATCATTCGCCAACGACGCGTGAAAATTTCGTATAATCTGTAACGTGTATATCAATACCATTCCAAAAACTGTCTACTTTAAACTTCTGAACAATTACTTTAAAAATTGACAAAATAAGTTTCAGACTGATAAAAATGAAAATGTCGACAGCGAGTAAATTAAATTAAGCAAAGTCCAATGTATGCTACTTTTATCAACTTCGGTCATTTTAGGAAAATATTTGATTTATAAAAAGTACCTCCAAAACCGTAATACATTACTGAACGCAAGTATATCCCTTATGTATGCATTTTTAATCCTTAAACGAAAAGTTGATTATTTTAACTCAATGCCGTCATAAATCTGCATTTTGCATGTGCAATGTAACATTTTACCATATCCTCATATAGATAGTGTGATTAATAATATTTAGAAAGAAAAAGAAACGTGAATTGGTTCTTGAAGAGAGATATTTATATTTTTTTATATACATTTATATTATGATTCATTCCGTTGAAGGGTTGAAATTAAGTTACGTAACTCTCTCTCTTCTGTAAAATCCTTTAATTAATGTCCAAAAATGAATGTGAAAGTTCGCAAATCTTCGTTATATACATATAAGAATCGAAGAAAAAGTATTACCATCTTCAGGTTAAATGCCGGAAGAATTTGATTATCAGCTCGGTGCAGTACGATTCCAAGATTTGCTTGCGTCAAATACAGCGGGAGGAAACAATGGAACAGGATTTAAAGTGTACTCGAAATGGATGACATTGGAAGCGAATTCCAACTTACGCATACGCGATTCCATATTTTCCGCGTGGGCTAGTCGCAACTGCACGACTCTGCATTACCGACAGGCATCGAATGAAGTGGTTCAGTCGATTTCGATTGATCGAACGAGCGCAACATGAGCTGCCATGAGACGCGCGCGGTTCAGCTTTGATTCGGTTCTGCTCGTGGCGTACCGTGACGCGGCAACCACGTAGCGGTTATCTCCAAAGTTTACGGTTAACGATCGGTTTCGCTTAATGATTGGTCCGCATATCGGATCGGTGGTTAGCTGCAAGGTGAATGTAACCGGATCTATCTTGACACTTCCGAGGAGCGTAAGAATATCGAAACGCAATTTGCATACGCGTATCCTCTTGTTTCCAGGTACGTTTATTTTCTTTCCACACCGGCTGCTACGCAGGGAGGGAGAATGACTATAGTTTAAGAGTTCTTACATTTGATTACAACCAATTCCAATGACGCAATACCAGTTAAACGAAGGCGCGCTCGTTCTCATTGTCATTGGCGCTTTCTTTATAAAATTTAAATCGGTTCTCGACCTTTTGACAGAAAAATTCAATGATGCAGTTCGCGTTAATATTCCAATCTGGGATTGCAATTTTCAGAATTGGAACATGACCTCTTTGCAACTGACTTCAGGGAAAAAGAATCGTTGATAAAGTTTAAAGTTGTTTGGTTATAATTGATAAGAGATTGTTTTGTTTCTATGTTGAGGTAAATTGCTGCAACTGATATCTCAAAGAATTACACATTAAAAGTTATTTTAGCTTAATTTTAAAAGTTTGTAATTCTCTCGTTAATTAACCTGTACATTTGATGAATAATCAAGGATTAATTTTGAATTATATGTGTTTCAGGGTACTTATTGAAGTTTGTGAACCTGTAATGCAATTGACGTTGATAAACGGTGGGCTGTTAATGGACACTCGATAATTGATGGTTCTTCATTGCCTCATCAACGATTGATCTCTGAAGACTGGGTGATGATCTCAGGATTATTTTCAGGACCGAATACCCAACTAGACTGGAAATATGTTTCGCTCCAAGATTCGTATACACACGTGTCAAGTGATTTTGTTGACATCACTAGTATGGTTTTTGGTAGATGTCATGGTACTTATGTTTTATTCGGATTGCATCGGAGGGACAGGATGGGGTTGTCCCGATAACAAACAACCAATAGGCACGGAGGAAAGTCAACCTCATGCGGCAGTCCTTAAGAGGGAAGTCAAAGAATCGACGGAAGAAAGTAAAAGACGATATAAGCAATCAGAGTTGCATTTATGGAGGCCAGCCAAAGTAATCAGAGAAAGTAGAGGTAGTCCAGGTGAAATGGGCAGTGCTGTCCACATTGCAGCTGAATTAGAAGCAAAACAACAAGAACTTTTTAAACTTAATCAGTTCAATTTAATGGCCAGCGATATGATCTCATTAAATAGATCATTGAAGGATGTTCGGTTGGAAGGTTGTAAAACTAAAAAATATAATAAATATCTTCCAAATACTAGTATCGTTATCGTGTTCCACAATGAAGCCTGGAGTACGTTGCTCCGTACAGTTTGGTCTGTAATTAATCGTTCTCCTAGATCTTTATTAAAAGAAATCATTCTTGTGGATGATGCTAGCGAACGAGGTAAGAGTTTACTAGTTACATGTCATATGCTGTATGTACGACGATGCAAAGAATTCTAAATCATATTTTTTCAGAACACTTGAAGCAGGATCTTGAAGACTATGTAAAGACCTTGCCTGTATCAACTTATGTATTTCGAACAGAAAAGAGATCAGGTTTAATAAGAGCACGGCTTTTAGGAGCAAAACATGTAAAAGGACAAGTTATTACATTCCTGGATGCACACTGTGAGTGTACCGAGGGCTGGTTAGAACCACTTCTTTCTAGAATTGCAGACGATAGAAAGACTGTTGTTTGTCCAATCATTGATGTAATTAGTGATGATACATTCGAATACATCACTGCTAGTGACATGACTTGGGGAGGTTTTAATTGGAAACTTAACTTTAGATGGTAAACTGCAGTATTAATGAAGACAATTTTATTATCGATATGGTATGAGAATCATATTGAATATAAATTTATTCATAATTATAGGTACAGAGTGGCCCAAAGAGAAATGGATAGACGCAATGGAGACAGAACAGCACCCCTTCGAACGCCAACTATGGCAGGAGGGCTTTTCTCTATCGACAAAGAATACTTTTATGAACTAGGTGCTTACGATGAGGGTATGGATATTTGGGGTGGAGAAAATCTAGAAATGAGTTTTCGGGTAAGTTATTTTTTCCTTTGAGAAAGACAATAAATAAGACAGTGATTTTAAATAATTGACTTCATTTCCTTTTAACTTTTTTTACTGATTACCATATATCGATACAATCGCAGGGTTATTAAATTTTTAATGTAATGAATTGATTTCCCTGTCTTATTTTTAAACATTACTATAGGCTGGATTTATGCACATTGAGAGTGAAATATATGTACGATATAAAATTCTTTTAACAAGTAGTTTCAGGATAATCGTTACGATTCCCATATGAAAATAAGTAACTTGAAATAGGTTTACAGCTGTGTTATTTACCTGTACCCGAGTCCTGGAGGATATAAAACATTTGCAGATATATGTATATATTATTCCCTTGATTTATGGACCGTGCTTATTAGCTGTGGGAAAAATAATGTTACAGAACTCCTTATAAAATTTCAAGTTACTTGTAGGTATGGCAGTGCGGTGGAATTTTAGAAATCAGCCCGTGTTCGCACGTAGGGCACGTGTTCCGCGACAAGAGCCCTTACACATTCCCTGGCGGTGTCAGCAAGATCGTTCTTCATAATGCGGCCAGGGTGGCCGAGGTCTGGATGGATGAGTGGAGAGACTTTTACTATGCCATGAATCCAGGTTAGAAGATTATAGTTTCTATCGCGCCATTTACTATGTTAACAATGTCTTGACACATTTCCCACACAAATTCTTTCTGTCCCCTACCAAATAGAACAGAAGATATTATTTTATTTAATGAAGACAATATGCATATTAGAAACGTAACCTCAAACTAACACGTGTTATTGAACAACACATTCACTTATCGTTATTTTTTCTATAATTGTACTACTCGGTGGAATGACGAAACATTACGAAAAAAAAAGAAAAAGAAAAACACAATTTTACGGATAGAATTTTATTATCAGAAATTCAGTATTTAACGGGTATCTGACTGAAAGCTAAATTGTTCTCCATAATTGTTAAATGTAGGATATTTAAAAATTTAATTGTTATTACCTTTCTAATACGTGTTCATATACCTGCACGGTATTTCAATGTATTTTGCATTGACGTAATTTTGATATTAAATTTTGATAGACTGATCTTCAGAATAAGTGTGTAATTATGCATTGAGACAGACGTGTAAAGCTCAATTTCGTATGTGTTTTGCTTAGCAAGAGTCACATTTCACTTAAAGCTTTCAAACAGATTCAAGTTGTCTTTGCACATTATCAACATTTTTAATTGCTTTCACAATCTGAATAATCGTTCACATACAGTAATTACGTCATCGCAGAGAACTACTCTTACATTATACGATTTGTTATCTAATGAAATATTAACGTGATTTTAATTTTCTCTATTTTTAAACCTTGTGCTAATGCTAATATGTTATTACTGTATTGTCATTAATCACGTTTAAATACAATCTAAACTAATCGATGTGAACCATATGATCCATAAAACATAACATCTCCAATTAGGTCGTCCAATAAACACTGATAGTATCAATTGATGGTTTCCGTGAATGGTTTATATTTTAGGTGAATATTAAAGCGCCCTCGATTAGAATGTCTCTTGCTGTCTTAACCACTCATCCATTCGACCGACTAACAAAATATATGAACTTATGAAAATGTTTACTGGACCAACTAGTTATTCTAGGTGCTGAAGAAGAATCCAGATGCGGGCTGCCAATACTTAATATCGTTGTAGTTTAAATAACATTCTTTGAATCAGTTTTACCCGTTTAATTGCTAACTTACTAACAAAACTGAGTTGGTTAGATATGGATGTGTGGTGGGACATTGGAGATTGCCACGTGCTCGCACGTCGGACATGTATTCCGTAAGTCGACTCCATATACATTTCCTGGTGGCACCAGCAAGATAGTGAATCACAACAATGCGCGACTTGCAGAGGTCTGGTTGGACCAGTGGAAGTACTTCTATTACAACATTAACCCAGGTAGCACTAACGTCGCTATCGTCGGGCCTGTCTCTGCGATGATCGCTGCCTTGCTCTAGCATGTCTTTACTGAACTGTCAGCATGTTCAACTGCCGGTTGTTCATATTTTTCATTGTCAGTTTATGGTTTGGGCTGCAACTGCTTTTCTCAAATACCCATTAATCATTCGAAACATTCGAATTACTACCGATTCTGTTCATTCTCTTGAATTATCAGAATCTATTTAACGCAATTATACACGTACTACAAAAATGTATTTGCATAATGTTTGATCGTGTTATAATATGTATAAATCATTATCTGTATGTGATCAGACATATAACGTAATATGGATTTACATTTCATGACTGGTTATAATTTCTCTCCAACTTTATTGATCATTTATTACGCGAGAACTTTACATGCAAATGCACCGTGAGACGTATGAAGGTCTCGGAAGACGCATATAGTGGGAGAGTAATATTGTATTAACCGAACATTGACTATATTTTGGGGATAATTAAGATATTTGTGGACTTTTTTGCATGAATTTGTCCAACTCCGCGGGATGAATTTTTAGCATTTCATTTGCAGCATATACTTCTTATTTTTTAAGCACCCGTCCAGGTACTATTCAGGAGGCACTTGCAGGAGATCGTACACATTGGTGCTGTTTCACAATTAACAGTGTATTTTTATTATTTCAGCACGTCTTTTCAACACATTTCCTTTTCCCGCCAATGCACCACATACACACAGCAATTTAAACATTAAAATATGAAACAATTTTGTAAATTTGATTTTTTCTTGTAACTATACCCGACATATTCTGATAAACATTTCAATTTTGAGAAAATTGTTCTTATGCAATCGCACATTTTTACTATTTTCATTGTGTAATTAAGTTTTTAAAAAAATAATACTGGTTAGTGGAATATGTAATCAATCCAAATAATCAAATTTGCAAAATTTGTATGTATTACGAGTCGCATGAAAAGACAATGCGAATCTTTTCTTTGTTACATGATTTTTTATGTATATGGCTAAATTCTAATTGATAAATCGAAAAATGTTTATTGTTGTAGGTGCTAGAAGCGTGTCTGTTGGTGACGTTTCAGAACGAGTAAAACTGCGAGAGAAACTGAAATGTAAAAGCTTCAGATGGTATTTGGAGAATATCTACCCAGAATCTCCCATGCCTCTTGATTACTACTATCTCGGAGACGTGAAAAACGTGGAGACACGTAATTGCTTAGATACTATGGGAAGAAGAACAGGTGAGAACGTCGGAATTAGTTACTGTCATGGACTCGGTGGTAATCAAGTAAGTAATTGGAACCACAACTTTCTATTTTGAATGTTATCAAAGCTTATTAAATATGTACATACTAAAATTACTAGCACTTACTTTATTATTAAATTCCCAGGTTTTCGCTTATACCAAGAGGCAACAAATCATGTCCGATGACATGTGTCTCGATGCTGCCAATCCTCAAGGCCCAGTTAAAATCGTACGATGTCATGGAATGGGCGGAAATCAAGCTTGGGTTTATGATGAAGATGTAAGTTCTCATAACAACAACAACAACAACAACAATAATAATTATAATAGAGTCCTAAATATTTTAATTGTTTCACTTATTTGTTACATTTTATTTCTTTTACAGAGTAAAATGATCAGACATACAAATACTGGTCATTGCTTATCGAAGCCTCGCCCAGGAGATGCGTCGCAGCCCGTTTTAGCGCCTTGCGACAAACATAATCTTGGTCAAAAATGGATAATGCAAAGTAAATTCAGATGGCAAGCTAGCTAATACTAGGCAGCTGTGATCGGTAAAACTGCACGCAATACTTGTTAATGTATTTAATAAATTGAATTCCAAGGACTGGCTCTCAAAGAGCTTTTCTCACATTCAAGATTTAACAAAAATTAACCAGTTATGGTCTCCAAGAAGATTACAGACTGGTAGAATAGAGTGAACTCGTATATGCGCCAATTGCATTATAGGCGAGCTTGATTAAACTGACTTTTTCCTCGCTTGGATGACCAGACTGAGAGTCTATTTAACTTTATTGATTCTTCCAAGACTTGTCTAACGTTGATAGCAGGATCGAGGATTTACTGCTACTTTCAATTATGCATTAATAATTGCACACAATGGTATCATGAATATGAAGGACGTCTTCGTGCAAAAAATGACGTCTCCGTAATACTCAAAATACTGGTTAATGAAAATAATTATTATTGGACAGATGATGCATATCAGACCGCTGTTATAAGTGAATTATTGTTGTAGTGAGAGTGTTAATTGAAATATTTGGTTGTTGGGATGAGTGCAATGGTAATGATCGACTATTAAAGTCGGTTTTAGTTAACATGGACCAGATGAACGCGTAAATGTCGCAGCTGTACATTAGCTGTAGAGTGTACGTGATGATAACGTGTCAGTACTCGTCAGAATAATATAACTTGTATGTGTACAGGTACTTAATCATAGGGAAGAGCACTGGGTCCTTTTGTATCGTTAACTCAATCTCTATAGTTCCTTGCTGGATCTACTATTTTAATTTTTAGTAAATCATCTCTCCGTGAACACCACACGCGCGCGCGCGAGATATAATTAGTACATGTATATGAATTCACAGATGTAGTTTTACAAAGTTGAGCACATGACTCGTGCAATCGTAAATCTGTTATCTTGCGTTTCATAAATTTAATTTTACATAAAAACAGAGATTCTAAGAACGTATTACTTTAAAGGTGGTACGAATATTTTTTTTAATTTGCCTTAAATTTAATTTATTTTATAATAAATATAAATTTGTTAACAATTGATAGTGAATTCGACTATTACTGATAACACGGGTATATACAAATCCTAGAATTTGATAATTCTGGAGCCCATCCCTTTTGACAGGTTGTTATAGTTAAAACTATAACGTATTTCTCACGCTCACGTAAAAGTTGTCATCCTATAGACATCTGTCACGCTTAACAATAACAATAATAATCAGTGGACTGATTTTGTACAGTTTTAATTGCGTCCACTTTAGAATATCGCTCTTTATCGCGACTATAATCCGATATCAGAGTTAGACAAAGTGTCTAATTATTCAATAATTATGTGATTCGATAAAAATTCTAATGGTACTTATGGTGATGGTGCAACTGTTTACTGCTTCAATATGTTTAATTAATTTTTTTGAGACTGCAGTATTTATATTTGTACAGCCCTTGTACTGAATTCTATTTCTAAGTAGAAAAGAAGTATTTTACAAGATCAAGTAATTACTTGAAATGTCCCGTGTCAGGTATATCTCTTGCAGAAATATGCAACTACTGAACGAAACATTCTTGACCTTATGTAAACCTCGAGTTTGTACAACTTTTTTGTACAATGAAAATTGCTAAGATTTAAGTACTTCAAAGTAACTACTATGATTTGTTCGTGAAGCTTTCTATATATAATGATGTACTATAATGTTCTGAATAAGAGTTTTATTGCTAGCACATTAACAGTTATAAAACGATGATAGATTTTGCTGTTAGCCAAGATTATCTTAAGAGATTCGATTTAAGTATGATTGTTAATTGGTTCTGCAATACCTGTTTATATTTTATGCTTTTGAAAGCATATTTCATGCATTCAAAAGTATTAAATGTTGTATTGCATTGTACAATTGGTAATATACATTTCTGATGTACAATAAGCGAAAAAGTAATAATAGAACATTTTGCGACAATGCGTATACCTTATGAATTATTTAAATATTAACACAATTGTGCGACCAATGTCAAAACCAATTACATTAATTTGTTATTAATGATATTGGTCAAGGATTTTTTTAATTAAATTTGTCACAATCGTATGTTTCTTGATAGTAGCTATTGTATTCTCCTAATTTTTCGCCATTATTAGCGAAATAGCAGAATCATATGCAATACCGATTGATTTATTTGAAAACTATAATGTTATCAGTCTGAGATGGTAAACAAATGTTATCAAAGATAAATATTACTAACATTTTCTTCCATAAGCCCAAATAAGTACATATTATAGTTTACTATCTTTATAGTTTCCATATGCAACCAATTTTGTAATTTATAAATTGACTACAATTACACTTGATAAATGCGATACTTCTCCAAGGAAGCGCCATTTTTCATATCTTCCAATTTTCAGAGTTCATCATTTTACACATTTCCGTTTATCTAAACCTCACAGTAATATCCACTTTCAAATATGTAAAGCAAAAGAAGTTTTTAATAAAAATACTTCTACAATTTGAAACAATTTCATTATAAGATTAATAAATGTAAAAGTCAGTAGTCTATTGTTAACAGATTTTTATTGCAATAAATTCAACGTTTTATTGTTGACATAAGAAATGATTTCCATTTGAGATGTGTATATCACAATATTACAAGGTGAAAGTGAATATTTCAACAAATTTATACACCATAGCAATATTTACTGTTGAAGTGCTTGCATTATACACAATTGCTCTGATTACAAATATTTTTACATTATTTTATATGCTATATACTAAGGTTGCACAGTTAATGACCCAATGCTGAAGACCAATTGAGTAATGCGATAGAGCAGTATTATGTCAACTAATTCTAATTTACATAAGGGTACCACACGGACATCATTTTCAACGTGTGAAAACTTCCTTCCATTCCAAAATACAGATCAATCTCAGTTTACTAGGTACAAAATTATTTCATTATTTATACAAGTATCAAAATACCTACACTCATAAATATTATATATATATTAGTTTATTTTCCAGCAACAATACTATGAGATTTATTCAAACTACTATTTGTTCAGCCCTGATTATGCATAAAACATGTGATAAAAACACATTTTATCGGTGAAAACAAATTCTAAAGACAGATTGGTTTGAATAAAATTACAATTAGCGTATACACGCGACGTGATAATCGTATTAAACATTATTTATCAGGGAATGACATTTCATAAGAATTATGTTTAACATTTTAATGTATGTACATATACAATAAATACAGAAATTTTATAAGTCAAAAGTAGTTCCTGAATTTTATGTATTGCCCTTACAAATAATTCTCAGTTGTTGCAAAACAGACTAAATTCATGGAATTCATAATCTTATTATTAGCTGATTCAAAACTAAAGTCTTTATCGTGAAATGATTTTAAAGAGGTACACATTTTTTGTCTTAAACTCTTTTCAAAAATACAAGTAGTACATGACAACTAACAAAGATTCACTACTTTAAATGAGTATTAAATCAAATGTCTACGTCATGATGAATCTCAATTTAACTCAACCGTTTTGATTTTTATTAAGTGTTAAAATCTTATATTAAGTACCTTTCCACAATTCAAAATTCACTGGTTTAAAAGTTAAGTAAATATGACACAAGAGGAAAATATTAGGATATATAAGTTTTTTGGAAAAAAAGAACACAAGTTTAGTGAAGACTTTTTATTAAATTAACTTATTGTTCCTTAACCTCTCGTAAACGACGGACAGCAGATCTGACGGAAGCTGCAGCAGTTGTGGAATACACCCAAGCTCCACCAGCAACTGTTCTTTTACACCGCTTGCAAGACCAAATACCAACTACGCTACGTTTCATTGCATCCTAGAAATAAAAAATTGTATCATCAGTTTATAAATTAATAAAAACATGGAATAAAGCAAAATTATGTAGCCTAGAAAGCCATTTCTTGTCATAAATACAAAGTGGAAAAAGAAATCAACTCATTATTTTCAAACTTCTGATACTAAAAATCTGTATCATTTAAATAATCCAAACAAAAAGGGATTAATTTATTTGATAACAAATATTTATATAGATATTCTTAACTCTTAAATAATGTCAAACCGTGAGCCATAAGAATGACATATATCGCAAGGTCCATGGGATCCCATGTCAGTTAAGCATTAATGTTTAATTATTACATTATACTGCAACTAATAATCAATAGAAGATATACACTTTAAACAATAGCATTGTGAAACTCTCGTTTTATGCATTAGTTATCAAGTGTTATTTAGATTTCCAATTCATAAACACCAAATAAATAATACTTTATACAGCCTTCATATAATTTTGTTTTACAGATAAATATTCTGATTAAAAACCAACCTTGCCACAGAATGTGCATGTATATTTGCTATGTTGGGTAATTTCCATTTTTTTCACCATTTTCCTAAGGGAAGCACCATATCTGGTACCATATTTCCCAGTGATTCCAACCTTCTTGGTACGTTTTGCCTGGAAAAAAATTGCAATATTAAAATACATGGTTTTAATATTTTTATAAAATATGAATTATGTTTACTTCTTATTGTACTATACAAAATATTTCTCCTATAACCTCAATTTACATTTACACATCTATGAATTTAAAGAAATTTATACAAGTTCTATAGAATAATTCATTACATTGGAAACTATTTTTCACTGTGTATCACATAACTCCCTACAAAAATGTATTAAATTTGAAGATTTTTATTGATATAAATATTGAACACCCTCACGTCATACCATAATCTTTTCCAGCCATTGTAGATCAAAAATATGAAAATTTACTAGGGTACTATTTACTAAACGTCTATATTTAACATAGATCATGCCTAACGTCTCATTTTAATTTTGCATTAACAAAGAAATTCTATAATTATGGCCCGTCCAATTAAAATATTACTGTATTCAATTCTGAACATACATAGGATTCAAATAGAAGCCATTAAATTAGCAAGAACCACAGGCGTTATAACCGTCCTCATTTTTACAATAATCTTTTTCATCAATTACAGCGTTAAACAAAAATAGACATCTTTTTAACCCTTATCACTCCAATCGGCAGTAATACTGCCAACTTCTTATACTCTTCTAATATTCTTAGAGTGATAAGGGTTAAAATACGTGGAAAACAAACGGGATAACCTCACGACACAACTGTCATAACCCTACTTGTGTAACAAATATTATCATCTATGAACAAGTTTCCTTGTCTTTTTTATACAATAACATTATAGTTCACATGTAGGTTAAATTATTAGGGAAGATCTGCCAACCAATATCCGATTATTATTCTCACCATTTTTCCACAAATAACACGCAGCCGTCAGAAAACCGGAAAAGGCCGCAACTCCAATGCAGAAACGGAATTTGGTAAGTAGAGTCAAATTGATATTAAAATATCTCTAAAAAATCAAATCATTCACAGCATATACAAATAATTAAGAAGAAAAATTACAATGTAGTAGCTCCAGCTACGTAATACTGCAAATCAAAATATCTATTCGTACTTTTAGATAGTCAATTGACAATCGTGAAATAAAACGTGTTTGTACACTGGACTCTATCGATGGTTTCCTTCTGGTCCGCACTGCCCTTTCCGGCCGCGCAGCGTACTAGCGGCGGGAGCAGCGCGGAATTAGAATCGCTTGAGGGGCAGAATGGATCTCCTAAAGGTGTAGAACGTAAATATATAACAGACATGAAATCATGATTCCGCTTCTATGTCCGGAAGTGGATGCGTTGTAAATTTTCCTATGGCATGTTACTGTATATATATATTAATAAACTATTTTTCTTTTTAAGCTATGATAATATCCTAACTTCGTTTCAGTGGATAGAACAATTGAATCGCTAAGAAACTTGTTAACTTTTAATAAAACATGTTTTAATATATTCTTTAAGAATTTCTGTGAATATTCATTTAAAAAAAACTACGTTAAGTGGGTCAGGGACACTTCACAATAATATGTAAATTATTATCATTAATTTTTTTTGTTTATAAACATTTTTTTTTCTTTAGGAAATCCATTCTACCCCTTGGGCGATATAAATTCCGCGCTGCTCCCGCCGCTAGTACGCTGTGCGGCCGGAAAGGGCAGTGCGGACCAGGAGGAAACCATCGATGGGGTCCAATATAGAAAATGCAGTCTGGTGGTCAACGCGACAAACCTCATATATTGCTGTTTCGCTGTTCCACCATATTGGATTTTCGTTCCTACTCACAGAGTCTGCTACTCATTTCTGCTACTATTTCCGTGACAATGTATAGGTCGCGAGTTGATTTGGGGATCCAAATTCTACGCAGTGTCCATCCCCTGTGTATTAGTACGCACATGCGCTCTACTTGCCCAGCGTATGCGTTTTTCAAATGTCATAAGTTCAGTCTGCTGAACCTGAATAAGACCGTAACCAAAGCCTAACTTCTTGGTTAGCAAAGAATAGCATAAATTTGATTTCAAAAGACCCTGGTATTTATTTGATGCACTGAATTCACTTTACGAACTTTTGCTTTGTGAAAAAATGTTAATGCACTTTATTTTTCATGCACAACTTTGACAGCTAAAAGCGGTATAAATGTCCCCCTATACACTTTTAACACTAAAACTACCAAAACCAGTAAAAATGACTGGTTTCAAATGCCCCATTCTATACAAAAAAAATCCGCCGGTAGTTCTAGTGTTAAGGAATCGTCGCTCACTTTTATCCTAAAAGCGCTCAAAAAGAAGCTTGAAAGAGGGTACGAGTAGTACTTGGTATAAAACAATTACGGAACGCATTTTACAACAGGTAAGAATACTTCGATACTTATTTTCAAGTTATCAGACCAAACGCACCATATGAACAGAACTTCAACAGAGTACCAAAACATCTCGTTTTTTCTCTCAATGAAAATAGTCGAAAATTCAAGCGATTAAAGGTGCTTGGATGTAATTTAGATTATAAAAGTTGGCTAATCAACAGTATTCTATAAAAAAAACCACATTTGTTTATAATAAAGAAATATATTTATAAAATATGAGATCGTACAAAAATATATTTACAGTAGGATAACAGGTACAAGAGACCGTAACAAAAAAATATTGTTCATATACATTACATTAATTATTCACAAAACATAGGAATACTGGACCAGAAAAGAGAGCCTCTTTTAAATTATTTACAAAATATTTTTAGTCCACTTCTTCAACTGTTGGGCCCGAGTGGCTGTTACTGGCTCCCTGTTGTCGGAATTGCGCTCCACAGTCCTGCTGTTGTTCTCCTTGATGAATTTTGGCCATAATGGGAGAACACTGCCGTTGAATCTCCTCTAGTTTGTGCATGTACTCCTCCTTCTCGGCTAAGGTGTTATTGTCGAGCCAGCGGATGGTTTCGTCACAGAGCTGCATTATCTTATCCTTGTCGGATTGGATGAGTTTGGATCCNTGCATGTACATACTCGTTCTTCTCGGCTAAGGTGTTATTGTCGAACTAATGAATATAACACTTCCATTATTTTAGAATAATTTCATGAATTATACAATTTGGCACACAAAATTTAACATGTTATGTGCAGTGAACATGAAATTCATTACGTAAATTTAATATCTCTTTAACCCTTTGCGGTCCGAAATTCTGAATCGCCTTGTAAATGTCGAATCAGCCTCGACATAGCACCGCAAAGGGTTAAACATCAATCTGTACAAGCCTTCATATATGGTGTTATTTTCAAATAATTTAAAACTGATCACGACTTAACACTGAAATATCAATCATGATAAAACACATACTCAATGACCGAGGGTTTACAGGAAAAAGAGGAATATTAAAACAGGTTCTAATAATACTATACCAGGAGTAGGTGGTTCCCAAGTCAATTCCAATAGCAGGCATTTTCCTTGTTTGAGTACTTGTAACTCCTTCACAAAACTATCTCTTCGACTTCGAATGCTCCTCAATGTTTATCTCTCTGTTGCTCGTGTAATACTGCCGCTTTGACCGATCGCTGGTTCTTTTATAGGCAACCCAACCTTCGAGAACGCTTGCGAAGCTTCTAGAGTGTTACCGCTAGATTACTCTGTTGGTCTCTTGAAATTTCTTTGAAGCTCAGAATTATATTTATATTGTTATTTCTGGCTTTCCTTTCGCCATTTTCAAAAATTCTGAGGAAAGTGTGATAGGCTCAATTTGCCACATTCTATCAATAGGTTATTTTTCCGTGAATTTCCTTTAGATTCGTATAGAAGGGTGTATTCCAGAAATTTCGCATTTGGCTAACATTGTAATGGTGTACATATGAAAAATATATCTTTTATATTAGTTATTTCTATATACTTTTCTAGTACATTAAGATTTGTGGTTTAGCAGCCATCCGCGTTTTAGTATTCTAATGAATCAATTTAGAATAAATATTCTTCATGGAACGGTCTAGAGTATTCCTTTTTTAATTAAAAATATGAGATCGTACAAAAATATATTTACAGTANAGAATAAATATTCTTCATGGAACGGTCTAGAGTATTCCTTTTTTAATTAAGTAATTGTGCACCATTCAAAATTTCTTTTGTAACGTATATAAATATACAACACGCTTGGCCCTAATATATCCTATTATTCAGAAATTATTGATCAAGCCATCAATATAATGTTACCTGATGAAAGATTTTAAAGATTGGAAAATATTATGTTTTTAAAAATGTGGTATATTTGCAGGTGCGTGTTATAATTAATATATAGTTTAATAATATCCTAGGTCGCAGGTGAAAGCAATTTTTTATATAAGATTCGTCATGTTCATGAAAAACTAGTTTATTATACGTATTCGAGATTGTTCGAGCCTAGATCGTTCTGGAATAGTCCAATGCGCGTGTCCAAATACGATTATCGACCACCATGTCCTCCGCAATTCAGAAGTTTCTAGCTTAGTATATGGCTCATCTCTGGTGTGTTTCTTGAACTATTCCATTACCTATTGAAACTATTCAAGTATACTATTACTTATACCAATACTACTTAATAATTAGGAAGTATACTAATACTTCCTAATTATTCTAAGCATATCGACGTATAATATTTGACAAATTCAGGTAAAAAGCTGACCAGAAAAAATGTTTTTTTTTACGTGTCAAAATTACGTTTATATTAAAATCAATTTACTTGATTTTTACTTATTTAATTAAAGTTGTAAGTACAATCTCTGTCATGCATCTTCAATTATCTTAAATAATTATAATGTTCTTTATCCAAACTTAAATTATTTTTATTTTTGTGTACTCTATTTGTAATGGCATTCAATTTAACTTTTAGAATTTAACGGCATAGCTGTATTACATTTTCAGTTCTCTTTAAATAGAGCCTAGGTAAAGTAATGTTTGCGAAGGAATAATATTCTTCATTGATATTCTTTATTATTCTTGTGTTATTTATTTACGTCATACAATGCTGGCAATTAATACTCCAGGTTTCGAGGAAAATGAGAATAAAAGTTCGACTATGTTCTTAACGTCGTTTGAATCCTGATCATTCTACATAGTTCAGGGCACATTCGCATTAAGAGCTTAATATATCCACCGCAACGAACGCTGCAATCTGGAGACTTCTCAGCTGTTCGAGATCTTTCGCCCGCTTGGTGCGCTTGCGTGGACCAAATACTGGGCAGCACTGGGCAGCAACTTCATCCAACTTCATCAACCATGTTCCCGATGCAGAACGTTCTAGTTGGTTCCTTAACATTTGGGGATTTTACTGTAATTTCATCCTAAGTTAACCCTTTGGGGGCGGAGCTCTTTTGACATACGGGCGAAATTCATGAATACGTGCAGGCAATATTGGACCAAACATCGGACGCATATATGCGGCGGTAGCCCGCAAAGGGTTAAAAATAAGTATCGATACCCAACTTTTGTGTTCAGTATTCTAATGTACGATTAATCGCACTGAAGAATACCTTAGATTAAACAAAGATGTAGGAAATAAAAAGAATTTAAACGTATGACAACGTTTAGTCTAGATAGTTCTCAGTCGTTCGAGATACTTTTCATTTAATTATATAAAATAAGCTGACGAAAAGCATAATATTTGATTTCGAATATTTCAAAGTTCTATACTTTCGTCGTTAACTTAAAATAAAAAAATAAAATAAATAAATCAGGATTAAATACTCAGTTTTAATCTTATGAACAATATTTGAATATAAAGTAAATCACTCAATAATGCTTGTTTCCTTAATTTTTAAAAAAGATGTGCACGATCAGAATGGATTCAAGTGGTTAGTGATCAAAATATTTTGTAATTACGCTAAAATTACAGCGTTCATGAACATAGGCTAAACGTCAACATCAAAGATAGAAAGAAAAATGGTGCACCATGCATAGAAATTTGAAATATTAGCATTTCGATTTCCACAATGGTTCAATTGTGATGAAATATCTTTTACTAATTTAATAATCTACACTCCAACTCTTCTTGTCGTAATTAAACTTTACTCATGGTTCCGTAAAAGCATACTCCACATATGAATCAAATATCAAAATATTTGACTATATAAATGATCCTTCTGGAGGCTGCAATTAATATTTTTTGGCTTTTGATTGTCATTACAGACAAAAAGCAAAGGATAATTAAGATTAGGTATTTCACAATAATTAAGCAAATGTACATATATGTATGAAATGTTTTTATTTACTCTTAGATCATAATTTACAATTTAATAAAGTACCTATTCAAACATAAAATATCAGTCTTCCAAGATTTCAGTGAATGTTAAAATATTAACATTTATAATTAAAATCCTAAAACAAAGTTCTTACAATTAAAGCATCAGTCCTTTAGATCGTGTTAAAAAAAAATTTTGGACATTTTTGGAACGTTTAATCTACTTCCTCTACTGTTGGACCAGAATAATTGCCATCATCACCTTGTCGGATTTAAGCTCCGCAGTCCTGGTGTGTTGTCCTTGAATTTGGCCATGATGGGAGAACGCTGCTGTTGAATTTCCTCTAGTTTATGCATGTACATACTCGTTCTTCTCGGCTAAGGTGTTATTGTCGAACTAATGAATATAACACTTCCATTATTTTAGAATAATTTCATGAATTATACAATTTGGCACACAAAATTTAACATGTTATGTGCAGTGAACATGAAATTCATTACGTAAATTTAATATCTCTTTAACCCTTTGCGGTCCGAAATTCTGAATCGCCTTGTAAATGTCGAATCAGCCTCGACATAGCACCGCAAAGGGTTAAACATCAATCTGTACAAGCCTTCATATATGGTGTTATTTTCAAATAATTTAAAACTGATCACGACTTAACACTGAAATATCAATCATGATAAAACACATACTCAATGACCGAGGGTTTACAGGAAAAAGAGGAATATTAAAACAGGTTCTAATAATACTATACAGATTTATTAAAAAAAATTAAAATTTATTTGTATTATTAACTTGCAATAATATTTAATACATAGATCTCATTCACAGAATGAAATGTCAGTCTTCGTAATCTTAAATCAAGTTTGCCGGAATTAATCAATTAAATTCAGATAACTATGAATGTCATATTTAGGAAGGAAATGAATAATGAAAATGGATCAGTCTTGGCAAGATATCTAACAAATGTTTCCAATTGAAATTAATGATGTTTAGTCCACCTCCTCAACTGTTGGACCCGAGTAGCTATCATTGGCTCCCTGTTGTCGGAATTGTGCTCCGCAGTCCTGCTGTTGTCCTCCTTGATGAATTTTGGCCATAACGGGAGAACACTGCCGTTGAATTTCTTCTAGTTTGTGCATGTACTCGTCCTTCTCGGCTAAGGTGTTATTGTCGAGCCAGCGGATGGTTTCGTCACAGAGCTGCATTATCTTATCCTTGTCGGATTGGATGAGTTTGGATCCACAGTCCTGGACGGCTTGCTTCACCGAGAAGACGTAGCTTTCGATCTTGTTCCTTGCATCCACTTTCTCCCTCTGCTCTCGGTCTTGATCTTTGTACCGCTCTGCCTCGGCCAACATCCTATCGATTTCCTCTCTCGAAAGACGTCCCTTGTCATTGGTAATTCGGACATCGTTGCTTCGACCACTGGCAGTGTCCTTGGCCGTTACGTGGAGTATCCCATTGGCATCGATGTCAAAGGTGACGTCGATCTTGGGAATGCCACGTGGTGCAGGAGCAATTCCACTCAGTTCGAATCTTCCCAGCAAGTTGTTATCCTTGGTCATCGCTCTCTCTCCCTCGTACACCTGAATGGTAACTCCAGGTTGGTTATCGGAGTAAGTGGTGAACGTCTGCGACTGTTTGCACGGGATACGTGCATTGCGTTCGATGATGTTGGTCATAACGCCACCAGCAGTTTCGATGCCAAGGGAGAGAGGAGCAACGTCCACCAGCAGAACATCCTGAAGAGCGGAGCTCTTGTTCCCTTCGCCCGAAAGAATCGCAGCCTGAACAGCTGCTCCGTACGCAACCGCTTCGTCAGGGTTGATGGAAAGGTTAAGTTGCTTGCCACAGAAGAAGTTCTGCAGCATTGACTGGATCTTGGGTATGCGCGTCGAGCCACCGACGAGAACGACGTCATGGATGGATCTTTTATCCAGTTTTGCGTCAGCAAGGGCCTTCTCTACTGGTTCCAAGGTGGAGCGGAACAAGTCAGAACACAGCTCCTCAAAGCGTGCTCTGGAGATCTTGGTGTAGAAGTCGATGCCCTCGAACAAAGCGTCGATCTCAATGGTAGCCTCCGTACTGGAAGACAGGGTACGCTTCGCTCTCTCCGCTGCGGTTCTCAAGCGACGCAGGGCCCTGGGATTGCTCTTCAGGTTCTTTCTGTACTTCCTCTCAAACTCCTTGCAAAGATGGTCCACCAATCTCGAGTCAAAATCTTCGCCACCCAGGTGGGTATCACCCGCCGTGGATTTCACCTCGAACAACGAGCCCTCGTCGATGGTAAGGATGGAAACGTCGAACGTACCGCCTCCTAGATCAAAGATCAGGACGTTTCTCTCGCCCTTCAAGTTCTTGTCCAGACCGTAGGCGAGAGCGGCGGCCGTGGGTTCGTTGATGATCCTGAGGACGTTGAGACCAGCGATCGCTCCTGCGTCTTTGGTGGCTTGACGCTGCGAGTCGTTGAAGTATGCGGGCACCGTAATGACGGCATCCCGCACCTTCTCGCCCAGGTAAACTTCCGCGGTCTCCTTCATCTTCGTCAAGACCATCGAGCTGATCTCCTCGGGGTTGAATCTCTTCGTCTCGTCCTTGAACTCCACCTGGATCTTCGGCTTGCCGCCCTCGTTGACCACACGGAACGGCCAATGCTTGAGGTCGTTCTGGATCTTGGGGTCGTCGTACCTGCGGCCGATTAACCTTTTGGCGTCGAACACCGTGTTAGCCGGGTTCATCGCCACCTGGTTCTTCGCCGCATCGCCGATCAGCCGTTCCGTGTCCGTGAAGGCGACGTAGCTAGGTGTCGTTCGGTTACCCTGGTCGTTGGCGATGATCTCGACCTTGCCTTGTTGCCAGACTCCAACACAGGAGTAGGTGGTTCCCAAATCAATTCCGATGGCTGGCATTTTGTTCTGTTCGTTCGTTCGCTCGGTAAAAGTCCTGTAGACTTCGTTTATATTCCAATATCTCTCGTTTCGTTTCTCTATAATAACTGCCGTTCGTGCCCACGCGCGTTCCTTATATACCGTCCGCCCAAGCCGGCGCGTTCCCGATCCCGAAACTTCTGGAATCTTGTTAGAGCGCATGCTCCTCACGCTACGTGATCGCATCGACCAGGCTGTTCTCGAATTGTCTCTTACAATATCCAACTGCGCAATTTTAACGCAAATGCCCGCTTTAAATTTTCGTTGTCAATAATGATATTTATTAATATTGCCAACGTAATTTGGTGGTCTACTCGTTCGGTATATAACTAAATTATTTCACGTTGTTCTATTTTGGGGAAAAAGTTCACGTTTTGTTGTAGACTATACGGCGACATATTTGCTTTTGTTAATATTTCAAAATGTATGTAACTCAATGCTCTGAAATTCATTATCTTGAGATATTCCTATTTTGCATAGACATTTGCGGTATTTATTGCCTAGATTCATGTCTATTATGAATTTCTTTACATTGTGAATATTCAAACAATATAAGTGTTGTTTAAAATAATATTCATTTAATTAATTACTTAAGTATTTTATTTGAATAAGTACGTTGGAAAGAATTGTTTACGTATATAAGTAATCTCTGAATGTGGAACATTTCTGGAACGATTTTAGTATCTGAATGGACTGGAAGAATTTAATACGGAAAAGTTCATATAGGTATAATAAATAAGTAACAGGAGTATTTTATTTGAAATATGTTAATAGCGTTTGAATATAGAAAAGGGATTTGTAAAGAAAATAAATTGGACTTATAAATCGGCGCAAGATTATAAAAACAGGAACGTTCCAGACCTCGGATAAACTGCGTAGGTCACCGACATTGCCCTTGGATTCTCGAATTTACTAGCAATTTCTATAGAAATTTTGCCTGAATTTGTTATCGGACAACATACTGACTCTCATAAATGATATTTACCATTGCATTGTTCGTTAACATGAAAAAAGAAGTTGTTACTTCGTAAATCTAGAATTGTTGAGTCTGAAATACTCTCTGGATACGGGATGAGTTGCACGTAAGTACAGCCATTGGTTATAATTACCGTAATGGATGCATGAGAGTATTTTAGAGCATTCAAGAATGTCATGGTAGCGCTGTAGAACTTTCGAGGATTTTAAATCCTTCCAGAATATTCGTGAATGAACTCCAGAATATCGTTCCTAAGCTCTAGAACGTTCGAGAATGTGTATATAGGAACTGTCGAGGCTTCGAGAATAATTTCGAGAATATTCGTCTTCGTTCCAGAATATTCGCGAATGAACTCCGGAATGTCGTGCCAAGCTCTAAAACGTTCGAGAATGTGTATATAGGAGCTGTCGAATCTTCGAGAATAATTTCAACCTCAATGCAGATCTAACTTGGATTTTATGATTCTATATATATATATCAAATGACCAGAATATGACATATTCTGTAAAAACGTATTATTTGCAGCCAGAAATAACCGTATGAAGAAGCTCCATCATGTCATCCCGGATACGCCGAGGGATTAATACCCATCTCCAACGCCCCTCCTTCAAAGCAACCCAAACGTTCTGCTCCCGATCACCAGCCATGATAATCTTCTTTTACTTTTTCTTCTACTTCTCCGTATGGCAGGCAATTGCTGAATAAACCGCGACCACGACGAACAAGCCGCGCACCCTTGACTCCCCGAATCAGCGCTTTTCGCGAAAGACCCTCCACTTCAAATCAACTCAGCAGAACACTCACCACCACTCATCCGTATACTCACCTCCACACAATAGACATAAGTGAATTTTCAGATTGACACGAACAACAATAACACGAGCAAGGATGCATGTCTGGATACTTCTCTTCACACTGGCCCACCTAGCCACGGGACTCATCGAAGACTCTGGATACACGACAACGCCCATGCGAAAATCCCCAGGAATTTATTTTGAAAAAATTTAAGAAATCCGGACCTTTCATGTCCGGTGGCGTCTGGTCACCGCCATTGAAATCGACGCCCTTCTGGTGAAAAGGCCACAAATAGATTCCCATATAAAGGAAGCCGGTGACCAGTGCCGAAGGGCCAACGTCACCTTCTGTGAGGCCAGTGAATGGACTCTGCGTATCAACGCACTCATGAGTGATACGCAGAAGTATGTAGGTCTACTTAAAAACCTGATCCCGAAAATTTCAACCCCGAACAGACGTTCCAAGCGCGGGGCTCCGTTATCCTTCCTCGGGACCATTAGCAAAGTTCTATTCGGCACCCTCAGTTCTGAGGACGCCGAATATTACAACCAGCAATTAGATCAGCTAGAGACGGACCAGACCCATCTCTCGCAGATCATAGAAAACCAAACCCATATCGTAAAATCCGAATTCCAAAACATTCACCAACGGTTAGATAATTTAACATACGAGACCAATAGATACTTTATAATCACGAAAGGAATAGCGGGAGAACTAAATCAACAAAGCCTCGAGAAACATCGAGAAGCATATAGAACCTCCGTGTGGCGCTGGATAACCGCCCTAGGAAGTCTGGTCCAGGAGTACCGTTCCGGAATCTTGTTGATAACAGACGCAGTCCTCTTTGCCCGGCAAGGAATTTTACACCCCGCAATCCAATCTGCGGAACAACTAACAAAATCAGTCAACTTAATACAAGCCAGTTCACCCTTGGAATTTCCTCTATCAACCCAAGAACTCCTAGCAGGGTCCCTCAATCACATAGCAGAAATTCAAACCCAATACCAAAACAAGCGATTAATCCTCATCTTAACCTTCCCCCTCCTCGACAGAGACCCATTTCACTTATACAAAACATATCAAATTCCCACTCAACAATCCTACGGAACAATGACTCCGATAGCAGCCTACGTTCTACCCAAAACACCCTATATAGCCCTTTCTGAAGATCAAACCTATTTCTTTACACCAGAGGACCAATACATTCAACAATGCTTTCCCCACCGTCAACAACTCCTATGCGAACTCACAATTCCCCTCCACAAAACCGAATCATCCACGAGCTGTGAAGTTTAACTGTTGATCCAGCCGCAGTAAATGGATTAGAAAGCCTGCGACCTTAGACTTACAATCCCTGGAGCCACGTACTGGCAAAAGCTGGTAACATCCAACAGCTGGCTCTATGCCGCCATTAAACTCGATACCCTAAGGCTCCACTGCCAGAATAAAATCACAGGCATGGAGGAAATCAATGGACAGGGGATCTTGCAGTTGGCCCCCGGATGCACGATGATCAGGCCAACCACACGGCTAATAGCAACCAGAGAAATTTCTACCAACACCTCCTATCACTACACACCATCAACAGTGCTGAACCCCACATCGAATTCCGGACCAGTAGCCGAATCCCACCAAATAGCCATCGATCACTTAGCCAAGGAACTTACCCTCGGCAGCACCAACCAAAATTGGGAGCACGGCAAGAACGGAATGGCCCTATCACGATTGGAAGCCGAAGCTCACAACATCCAAACCCAACATCAAACTCGACTCCACCACCAGCTCACAACCTTCCTGCCGGTAGGAATTTTAATTCCCACACTCTTCATCGTCCTCGCAGGACTCGCGTACCTTCTTTTCCGACGATACCCATTGCCAAGGTCACCGCGCCAAACACCGCCTGAACCACCGAGGGAACCTCCTGCGTTCACAAAAGGCATCTCTCCACGCAGTCAATTCATTTCAAACCCAATTTCTATGTCGACGCCCGCACCCCCGACGAATAGAGTGATGGCCATCTTACCGATCAGTAGCATAGACACGGCACTTTAGCTCACCCTTCTGGTTCTGCCAAACCCTGTAATACCCGATCAACCATGTCAGATCACACTCATCAACACAGAAATCAAAAGAGGAGAAATTCCCATTCTTGAAACATCTGACGCATTTACCATTAACCCACATGGTTGATCGAGTAAAAAGCAGCCCTAGGTTGACACTCTTGAAAGCACCATCCATCAGATGATGTTTCATCTAAGAGGGGAAGTGTTACGTAGACACTACTTACGAAATAATCGCGACCCGGTAAATCGGAAGGTAGCCATGGAATTCCATAAATTAGCACGCGATTTTGACATACGCTTGCGAAATGAAGTCTCAGTCGACCTGACTAAGATCGCGCCACCGACCCAAGTAGACCAGGTCGCGATCAATCGGGCCCAAGTGCATCCATCCTGGTGACGCTGCAACATATCCTCCACCCCTGCAAACACCGCTCTCGTCTAAACCATGGAACCCCCACCAATTGGAGCGCCGTCCCAAATTCGCCGATAAAAACCAACAATCGTCCAGTTAATGGGCAGTTAGTCGCAGTCAGTTAGAAGTAAGGTCAGACTCACACCGAGTCTCACGGACCCATCATCGTCATCGATCACGAGCTTGGAGTCTTTGTTTCTCGACTCTCAGTTCCTAGCGAGTCTAAGACCGAAACCATCGAACTCGGATGATCACCTGCACCCCGAGCTACAGTTGTGCTGCTCGGTACTCCGGCGATCCAAGAGCATCAATCCAGGAAGGGACGGCGGCATTACTACATCCGTTGGACGGGAGGCTCCGAGGAGACCTCTAACCCTAGGGCACGTCACGGGCGGAACGCGTTCACGCGCAGTCATCCGGTTGATCGATTTAAGGAGGACGTCACCGAATTGGGCCGCTGATCTAAGCCAGATACAGGCCCTTTCTCAAGCTCGGGTCATCTTCATTTTTTTTCCTAACTTCATCTTTCATCGTAACTAAAACCACCCGAATTCCATGCCTAGCTCCGGTTAACCTGATAGATTAGTCTTTTGTATCTCCAAAACATTTCAATATCTTGCCTCGCGCTAGAATCACGTGAACCTCACAAAGTCTGAGTGCAAGAACCGCCATGTTAGCATATTAGGCATCCGGTTACCTACTGCCACTGACCGCCTTATCGCGTCACCCGAAGCTCCGCAACGCGGAACAATATCGAATAGTGTGAATTAAACACGAGCACCCTCGAGGACCCTCACGATTTGTAGAAACCCCATCGGACAGAAAGACAAATATA